AATATAAAAATCTGTTTTATATGTATATGTAAGACATAAATGATGAAGTTATTTATACCGTCAATGGAGGGTATTGCAGTGATTTGGTCCCTGATAATGGAGGAAGGAGGAATGTTGATTTGGTTTGTTGCATATTTGTAGCATTTCCAAGTGCGGGATCAGAACCTCCGTAACCTGAATATGTTGATCCCATGAGGCTATGGCTGGTATTCACACAATTTAGTAAGGACTGACTACTTCCAATTGATGATCCTAGCTCCACATTCTCCTAGTCATCAACAACAGAAAGGTATAAGTATGACTTTGATAAAGCAAGTTAAAGAGAAAGAAGGAAAATAAGTATTTTAAGATATCATATAATTCCTTCATTACGAAAGAATTCGAAGGATGAAGCACTAATAAATCAAAACATTAAGGTATGTGTATGTGTTTATACTGACAAGTTAGCTAGTTTACGTCAAAAAGAAGTAAAAAGAGAAGAGAAAGTGTCCTTTGAAGCAATAAGGCTGGCAAATTCAGGTAGAAAGCAATAATTCATGTAACTTTTCCTCTCTATAAATAAATAGGAGGAGAAATATAAAATGTTTAATTGTCTAGTTTGAGTGTGTGAAATGTGACACACTTACTATGTATAGTACAATTTATATTCTTATTATGTATCATCTGATATGGAAATGACAACAATGTAAAATGAGAAAACCAAGGACTATCTATACATATGACACAATTAATTATTATACAGACTCTTGGCTCATAATTTCTATATTAGTATACTATGTAGTTCATTCTTACCAATGTTGAAACATAGGGTAGTTGTTGTTGTGGTGGCGCCCCTGATAATGGAGTATTAAACGACGAGGGGGGCATCGGTGACAAGTTGGGAGCAGTACTAATGACCGGATGGTTTGTAGTGCTATCTTGACTAATATGTTCATGTCCGGGGGGTGAGAGATTTCTATCGGAGTTCACTTGATCCGATGCAGGCAGCTCTTTGTTTTGATCTTTAGCCGGAGGTTGGAGTTCCGAGTTCTCCTGGTAAACATAAACTAACATATCATCATATGTAATCGATAATAATGTTATTTTACGATGTATCGTGTATATATAATTAATATGAGTAGCACTGAAGTGATGATAAGCAAAATGTACTGCTGTTGGATTAGAGGCTTGTGTTGTCTCTTTAAGTGGATCCGGATTGACTGGCACTGGTATCAAGGTTGAAGCATTCTCAACTGAGGGATCCAAAATTTCAGTAGGATTAGTATGAGCTGACGTTGAGATGTTCTGGTTGCTCACTGACATCGGCGGATTGCTTCCTGATGGAAATCCTGGCTTCTCCTGCATGACGAACAAACGAATTAATCTTCTTTAAACTTATTATACATATTTATAGGAGTGAATTATAATCTTAATATCGTGGTACGTACATGTGAGAAATCCACTATTGGTGGATTCTGCTGACAAGGATGCGACTGAGACTGGAGTATCTCAAGTGCGGGAACTTCATCATCAAAGTCGAAGTCGAACATCAAAGAAGATCCTAGGTCACCCTGATCCATCTGATCTCAATCAATTTAAAACACATTGTGAACAAGTTAAGAAATGGTTTATATCGCACAACTACAAGCGTATCTAAATGCCATACTACTCATCCCCTCTAAGAAAACTTGGAAAAAAAAAATTGCTATAATAGATAAATTTCTCATATATATATATATATATATATATATATATAATATATATATATATAATAAAAATATATATATATATATATAAAAGTAAAATTCCGTAGGGCGTTCTTTTTTTTTCTTGTTCAACATTTTAATTTTATTGGGACCGTGTCAGGTATGGCTTGTACATTTGGCGATTTATGGAAGAGGGAATCGTAACAATGTTTGACTTTTTGATGGGAAGGATTAAATTTATGTCCAGCGTGTCTTCCTTACAGAAAACCCTAGTCATAAAGAAGAAACAAGACGACATAAAGTGCATTTCCTAATAATGGGCAATACCTCGACAGGAGGAACTCGCCCTTCTCGAAAACTCCACTGAGCTACTGATTTCTCCGGAGACTCAAACTTTGATACAAAGTAACAAGATTGAATTATAAATCCAACCATAAACTGTTATTGCATGTCCGTTGAAACGTTAATGTATATAATTATTTTTAATTACTTTGAGTTTGAGCTATCATTCGTTTTTTTCAGAAAGGATCGCCTCATAGAAAGGGGGTATAACAAGAAAATTAATATTAACGAAGAAGAAAGTATACACCAACAATGCAAAAACGCAAGAGAAATTCATAAATTGAAGATAGTCGATCGCTAAGTAATTTTTGTGTAATTCACTGTAAATCTCTACCAAAATGCTTACAAGCAAGCAGGAATCAGACCGCACAAATATTATAAAATACAAAAACAAACAGTACAAAAGTCAGAAGCGAAACACTAGTAGTCATTAATAAATAAATAAATAAATAAACATTATAATATATATTATTAAGGAATTTCATAACTGGATCAAAGAAAGAAATTATGAAAAAGGAAAACTAATTCATTCACTTTAATTCTTCGTAATAGTTTCTTTCCTAGAGATTTGATTTGATTATGTGTGAAATGTAAATAAAAAAGGTTAGAAAAATCACAGTAAAAGAAGTAGTAGAGACTTTGAGAATGCTTGGAATTGAGATGTGAGAGTGAGAGTCAGAGAAGGATAAAATGGAAAAGAACTTAAGATGGTAATAACTGATATTATCTATGGAGGAAATGAAAGATTAAAGAGTACTAACTCTAGTTGAACCATGGAAGCTTATTATAGAAAAAATTGTAATATGTGTCACATTGTTAAAGGGGACATAATTATCGATATATTCAGGAAATTTTTGGAATTTATGTCATTTTAGTTCTTCTATATATATATATATATATATAATATATATGGGTTTTTGAGAAATATATAAAGATGTACACTATGTTGTGAAATAATAAACTTTATCGCGCCAAATGTTTTTGTATATAATCCTATATCGTTCACACACACACACACAGTTATCTTAATAATCAGTTTTTGTTAATACCGTTATTGAACTTTTAGGATATTCAAAATTGAGTGAGTTATATAGTAGATCTATTTTGTTTTCTAGCGACATTTATTCTAAAAAGATAGTAATCAAATTATTTTAAAGTTTACGGTCCCGTGTCAATCGACATTTGTTTTTTACATACATTGTCTAAATCTTATAGATATTAAAGATTTAAGAAAATTAAAATTTGTGGCAATGTGAACATAGTAATAAGCATTTATATAACACATAATCTCTAAGATTGAAATGGGTTCAATAATTATAAAGTTTAAATGAATTGGTAAGTTTCTAATTGTGTAAATAAATTAAAATGTGAATGCCTAATTTCTTAAACAGCCATGAATCCTTGAAGAAGATAAAATTGAAATAGGAAAATAATTAGATAAGGTGTAAATAGTAAATAATTTAAAATAATAGGATTTCCTGTAATTCGATGATTAGGAGGGAGGAAAGTGAAAGAGTAGAAAGTGACAGTGGAGAGGATTTAATAAGATTGGGTTGACAGATTAGAATTCTTAAAACTAATAATAAAAACTTAAAGTCCCTGGGCTGGCTTTGACACGTAATGGCTCTTCTGGTGGCTGGTTTTCATAAAACACAGTTCATGCAATCAAACTTATCCTTCTATTCCATATAAAGACATTCAAAATTTCAGATTCCCACTACACGTTACTTTGAATTTTTAAAGTTTGTCAATGGTATTTCTAAAACCACAGGCTTTTTTCTACAGTGGTTTTTTTTTTTTTTTTCTGTTTTTCAAAATTAGTGGATAAGAACAAATATACACACATCAATATAATAATATTATTATTATTATTTTCCTTTTTTCACATTATGAACTCTCTAATTACCTATTTTCATATTAAGAAATTCAAGCCCAATGTCATTAATTAGCTAGGGTGGACTTTGGGTAATTGCAGAAGAAACTTTGTTGTCAATAACCCCCATTTGGTGATCTGTTAGTAAAAAGGTAAAAAGAGGTTTTATAAATTTCTGAATTCGAGTCCTTCCAAATAGGACTGTAAACGAGCCGAGTCGAGCCGATAAAAGCTCGTTTAGAACTCGGCTCAATAAGGCTCAATTCGACTCGACTCGAACTCGATTCGTTAACCGAGTCGAGCTCGAACACAGTGAAGCTCAGCTCGTGGGTCAGCTCGACTAAGCATTGTACACTTCACAGGGTGTTTTGATAATTTTTTAAACTATTAGGTATTAAACCGATATTTTCTAGTGAAAAAAGTTTTAAAAAATGACAGTTTCCCCCCAAAAGTGCAAATTTGAAATAACACAATAACGAGCTCGCGAGCCGGCTGGAGCTCAAGCTCGATAAGGCTCGCGAATTCCGCTCACGAGCCGGCTTGAGCTCGAGCTCGAGTCTCAATTTTGAGGCTCGCCAGGCTCGAGCTCAAGCTCGACACTGTTGTAAACGAGCCGAGCTCGATAAGCCAAAAGCTCGGCTTGTTTACACCAGTACGTTCCAAACATTAGGGGTGATCGCTTTGGCAGACTCCAGTTAAAAAAAAAAAAAAAAAAAAAAACCTTGCTGTTGTTGACAAAATTGTATTAATTCCTATGACATTAAGCTGTTACATATTTACGATTACATTATATATAGGAGTCATACTACATTTATAAAGAAATTTTACAAAGATCTCCATACAAAGTGATGTGGCAAAAAATGAATGGAAGAGTGAATTTAATAAGTTTAACTTTTGTTTCACTCTTTCATTCATTTTTTGCCACCTCACTTTGTATGAAAATCTTTTGTAAGATTTTTTTATAAATATAGTATTATTATATATATATAGTGAAATTACATAAGAAATAACACAATTATTCTCAATACAGTACAATACAATGAATGTTTTTATCTAAAGTTTAAATGGGTTGGCGACTTGGCGTATCATTGCCCATTAACTTATGGGATTCTGTTATCATAGTTAGCACCTTCATTGTCAGATTGTACACCGTGGCTATTGATTGGGATATCAACCTGCTCACGTGTCATAGTCTCTGTTGTCTCTGTACCCATCATCCCATGCTGCTGCACACACCATATCATGGGCCCAACCAAAGCCCATTGAATTAGCAACATTCTCATTTCGTCTCACCTCATCTTTATCATTTATTTATTTATTTTTTCTATTTACAATATACACACAGTTTACAAATAAAGGTTAACATCATCATAATTATCAACCTGAATTTGAGGGTATAAGGTAGGTGAAATGGGAGAGGAATGGAACCCTGTTGAAACATAAGCCTGAGGCCACGTGGGATAATTTTCGCCACCTGGATTGGTGATTTGGCATTCTCCTATGCCATGTGGACCCGTGTTCGAGCTGGTTAATTGCAACAATGGATCATACATCGTGGTTGATAGATCCCTGAAAGTATAACTGATTGCTTCAATGACAAGTTTTAACTCAAAATTTGAAAGAAGATAGAAATTTTTACTATAAATTTATTAGTTTAAAAAAATACGTGCACTGGTAAAAAAAAAAAAAAAAAAAAAATACATGGGCATCTTACATTATTCAATTTGGATCTTTTGCATTATCAGTTTATTTGATTTTAAAGCATTTACTCAAAGGGGTTTTTATTTGTGCATTTTGCTCTTTATTTGCTTCTTATTATTTACCTTTCATGTTTAAGGAGTTTGGATATGTATAACTTTGTAATTTTAATTTCTTTGCTTTTCACTTAGATTGTTATATCANACCTTTTTTTGCCAGAAAAGTGACTAAGACGACCAGAAGGGGAGAACATGATAAGAGCGATATCAATATCACAAAGGATGGAAAGTTCATAAGCCTTCTTAATGAGGCCATTCCTACGCTTCGAAAACGTAACCTGCCGATTTGTGTTGTTTTCTATTCTCTTAATCTCCAATTTAACACGACCCATGTTGATGATCAACTAGCTGGCACCTATGTGATCTGTCTATGCACCCAAAGAAAAAAAAAATATATTTATATATATACTGGTGATAGAAACTTTTTAAATTGGAATCAAAGAGCTTTGCTCTTTCTTATTTTCAGAAGAAGAAAATCTATGGCGTTGCTATATATATGTATAACCAATTCATGGCCCTGAAAAGAAGGGTTGTTAAGCATTAGAGATAGAGAGAAATATGGTTATAAATGGAGGACTGTGGAGAGATTGAAAGGTTTTAAAAGAAAAGGGTCTGTTGGCTGTGAGAACTCGGCATTCGATTCAATGGTTCATAATCATAGCTAAGCCTATTGGTGAACCTTTTTACCTTTGGTTCCATTATTTGTGTGCACCTTTGCCTTTCGAATCTCCAAAATGAAACATAACAAAATAAATATTAGTTTTTATAATAAAAATCTCCGCCTAACCAAACAACCGAAAATATCGTAAATTTCTAGCTCTTAGAGTTAGACTCTTCATATATTTATATTTTATGAGCATATTATATATTCATATTTTATACAGACAAGTAATCACGTCCTTTCGCTATTTATGCACATGTAGGTCAAAACCTTCGTCTTCATTCTACGGAAACTAAGATATTTTTAATTATATTAACATTATGTGAAATATTGAATCAGATTAATCGGTTGGTCGAAAGCAATAGACATGAAATATTCTTTTAATTAACTTGGTGGGTATATATGCTTATTATTTTAACTGAGACATTTTTATATTTCATCGCAAGTTCCAAGTCCTTTGTCTTTATTCATTCTCGTCTGTGTTTCCAATAGACAAACCCACATAGCAAGGTAATGTTTGATATCTTTGTTGAGATGGTAGCTACTCAAATCTCACAAACCAAGCACGGATGGCTTATATATGCTTCAAGCAGATAAATATAACAAACAGTAAACAGATATATGGGTTGAACTAACTCTAAGTGACAAAGCGGTTAGATAGGGACTCTTTGATTTATTACTCAATAAGTTATGAGTTCAAGTCTCTCCTTCACTGTTAATAAGGATAGTCATTTGAATTTTTACCGGGTCGGTAGTTTCAGGGTACTGATGGATTAGTTGAGATGTCCGTAAGCTGGTCCAAACACGCCGGTCATTAAAAAAAAAAAAAAAAACTGATATGTTTTCTAGCTACACGCCACCAAATCCAATTCATGGTTTTCCTAGTCTTTTTTGTCATACATACTGGCACATATAGTCACAGAACTACATACGTTATAATTTTTGTTTACATCCAGTTATGGATTTCGTCTTTATATATATATATATATAAGTTGCTTATATATATAGTTTCTCACATTATATATAAGTTGCTTAACAACTAAGAGAGTCATATTATTATATAATGTTTATAATCATATAATATGATCACCTCTCTTTAAGAATCATTCTTACTTTAATCCAATGGTTGTAATTTGAAGATTTTATTTACATCATTTACCTAGCTAATGAATTTTCATATCATTTATGTATGCGCCAAAAATTATATTGAGCCTTGTCAGATCCAATAACGAAATAAATGATCTACGGCCCAATGCCTCCGTCCAATTCTAGTTGAGCTCACACTTAAATCCATTTTGTGAATTAACCATCCAAGGGGATGACCCACTTTGTTAGAAAGTTCATTCTATAGATTGGCCCATTCTACAAGTTGGTCCACACCACAAGTCAACCCTCTCGCTACTTTATGAGTTGAATCACTCTATGATCAAGGCCATCCTTCGAACTGGGCTAATTTATGCTTTGGGCTATTCCATGAGTTAGGCATTTCTACAAGTTAAACTAAATTAAGCTCCAACCCATTAGCTCATATCCTTTCCAAAATATGACTCAAAGTCTCATTCACTTCCTAGTCCATCCAAGATTCCTAATCTTACATGAACTAATATTTTTACTTCTACATGAATAAATATTACAAATTTCCTATTTACTGGAACTCCTAAAGCAGTAGAACTCAGAGTTTCACTAGGATTCGAGCCTCCTAGGCTCATTATATAAACAAGGGTCGACTCTCATAGTTCATTCATATCCCACCTATAACTCTAACTCTGAAAATTCTTGCTCTTAAGAACCGCCTCTTTTTCCCATCTAAAAGTTTAGTTTTGACTAACTTTACTTCCCTTAGTCACCATACAACAGTCTTCCGACCACTTTACAATAGTCTTGCCCCAGCCAAACATTCCCGGTAAATTCTTTCCTGCTCTCGGTCTTACTTATATTTTCCCTTCAACCATACTAACTTGAGCGTTGGAGTGTCTACGGCACAATAGTCTTTCCCTAGCCAAACACTTCCGATAAATTCTTTCCCGCTCTCAATCTTACTTATATTTTCCCTTCAATCATACTTACTTAAGTGTCAAAGTGTCTATGGCAAACATCATGCACATTGGTGTCTCCGAAGCCTTTAAGTTGGCTTTCTTTGTTCTTGTAGGTTTACGAGATTGTCAATGGCCTCATATCACAAGATCAATCCTGTTCAGATCAATTATAGATTTATCGTCTATAATTTATATGTCAAAAAAAAATTTAAATAAATATATAGATTGTATTAAATCTTGTTGTAAAGGTGACTCTAAAGTGATAAGCAAAAGTGTGCGAGGATATAGGTGTGATCTTGGCCCAATCCGAAAAGTAGGATGGATTTGAACCGACATGTAAAGTCCAAATATTGATGATCCATGAGTACCCGGACTTTGTACAACCCAATTCCATAAAACACAACTCATTTGTGTTGGAACCCAACTGAGAATTCATTTTCGTTAAATCCATACCCACTCTTTCTAAGCTCACGTGCTTAAGCTGTGACTGGTCAAAAGGATGTGACATAAATTTAAAAAGCAAAAATAAATAACGAATAACCTTTTATTGTGTCATTTATGTGCAGTATTACTGAATTAAAGAGTAATGTTAGACTTATATTATTTTTTTATATTATTTTATAAACATTGTAATGTGATATATCACATAAATTTTATTATAATATTAAAAATTTAAAATAATTAAAAATTTATGTGATTGTAACATACACCACCCATAATTAAATAAAAATGGTGTAAAAAGTGATGAAATGCTAACATTACTCCTGAACTAAAAGTCTAAAACACGCCATTAATTTGGGCGGGACCAGATGCCGACTGCAACAGTCTGCTGTCCCGTTCCAAGCGCATTAGCTTGACCGTTGCCCGCCACCGTCCAGCTAGTCTAGTACAAGCCTCGGTAAATTATTAATAATTAACTAATTAGTTATATTTTATTTATATAGTTTACTATTAAATAGAATAATTATAAAAATGAATTCCAATACGTTTTTTTTACTTTTCATCAATATTTGTTATAAGATAACAAGTATTTAAAAATTAAATTTTAATTAGCTTTTTTTAATAATATTATTTTAATGATGAAATTTGAATTTTATTTTTTTTTTACCAAGGTGTCTGGGTCAGCGCACACCTCAACTAATTCTCGGGACTTTGAAGTTAACAATCAGATAAACATTTAGTAATCATCCCTATTAATAATCGAGGTGAATCAAACTTAATACCCCTTAGGTAATACTCCAAGAATCTCTATTCAATCACTCGGCTACTCAAAGGTAGCTTTTTGATAGGATCCGATGCATTAGTGTTGATATGGTCGCACCCTTGTAAAAAAAAAAAAAAAAAATTGAGTAATTATTTTGTATAGTTTAATTTAGTATTGTACTCCACCAAACACAATATAGAACAATATATTATTCTTCTTATATAATCTAATCCAATTAAATGTTATTCAATACAATTTCAAAAATTATTCCATTAAAATACATATGCAAAATGTATGATTTAATATCTACATTAGAATGGTTTAAGGGTAAGGCTCTCTCTTCTTCTGGTATACTATCAATCTCTGGATATGAAATCTACAAGTAGTGTATATTGACCGAACAAACAGTGTAACAAGACGGCAGGAGCCTTATTTTCCTCTCAAAATTGTAAAAGAGATTATCTAAAGGGTTGACTACTTGACTTGTAAAAGTATATCCCTGTTAAGATCAACACAACGTTCTTGTCGATAACTTAACATCCAAGCTCGTGTTTAGAATTAGAGGGAGTCAAAACGTTTTAAAGAAATAACATATTGTTTCAGCCAATAGTGAAGGGTCTCAAAACGTTGGAGTAAAAGACTTGCTTGTGCAATTCGTCAAATGGTCGGTTTCCAGATTCATTTCTTAATGTTAATGGTGAGGAGTTCCAGTGTTTGGAGATTAATATACTTGCCTTTGACTGAGTTAGAATTACCAACTCCATTTCTTTTCAAACAAGGAATCATTTCATGTTATCCAAATTAGGTATAGAATAGAATATTCACGCTACAAAGGTTACTTTACAGTTTACATGCTACATGTTTACTTTAATTGGTTCCAAGATTCAATCACGGAGTTTGTAAGTGCATCTATTTGGTTCCATTTCTCTTGAACTGTATTTAATATTTATAACTGATTAAAATGGAAATTATAAATATATTTATATTCATGACCATGTATTTATATATTATATTCTCTTAAAGTATATTTGTAACTGATTAAAATGTATTTATATATTAAATTCATTCATCGGGTATGTTACCATTTTGATCAAATAGTATTTCCCAGACTTCCGATTTTCCTATATTTTAAGGGCTGTCTTATCATCAACTTTTGCTTTATAGCATACAGATCGAAAAAAACCATTAATTTATGTCGATTTCCATGATCCCGACCACAAATATATCTGCAAATCTATAATATAGATTATATTTTATTAAAAGCTGCAATAGAAACTTAATACAGATTATGAGTGCCGATGATCAATTGAATGAAAAATAGAGCTACCTATATAGCGCAAGGTTTCATGCAAATACAAACATATAGTATTTATAGAAATTAATATTATATTTAGATATGTGGTTAGCTGTTGCAGAAAAACCCAAATTATTTTATCAAATTGGCCCTTCATACACCTCCACATCCACTACAAAAATTCATTTAAAAATAAATAAAAATCATCATAATTTGGCCATTGTATTTGTATCAACTATTTGCTCACAATTACTAGATTTTTTTTATTTATTTTTGGGTGTAAATACATGTGTATATCTATTACATATTCACATGATTGAACAAGCATTAGGGTTGTCATCACTGAACATGGAGGTGTAATTTTCGTCCATAGTGGTCTCGGTGATGGTGGCTGTGGGTGGAACGGCCCTCACGTGATTAGCAGGCGCCTTCTTGTCATAAGACTGAGAAACGTATGGATTTGCCACAAGACTATAGGGTACGTAAGGCCACATCTCCACCTTCTTCTTCGTTGACTTAGCCGCTGCCAATACTTTCTTTGCATCAACGCGTCCGATTACAGTCGCCTTCTGTTGTTTCAAGTCCACATCCACGGATTTTGCTCCTGCAAATTCAGAAAATAATTGTTAATTTCAAACGAATTAATGAATGAATGATATGGAAATATAAATAATGAAGATGAAGGCAAAATATATATTAACCTTTTACTGAAGAGAGAACACCCTTGACCTTCCGCGCACAGCCTTCACAATCCATCCTTATTTTAAGTGCTACTGTCTGTGTTTGCTTCTTCTTCCTCTTCCTTTTTACACTGCTTAGTAAATCAGAAAGATATTCCAAAGTGCCTTCAACTCCCATTTTTTTTTTTTTGTTATTTCAAAGCACTATTGGATGGTAATTTATGAGTAGCGGAGAGAAGAACTTGAAGATAATATTGACAGAAACAAAATCCAAAGAAGCTCCTCCAGTAAGATTGAATAAAAAGACTACCGCTTCCAACGTCTTTTTGCTACAAATGGTTATTAAAGAAATACAAGAGAGAAGCGTAAAGACTAAAGAGTAGAGAGAAATTAACGTTGATGAGTGAAGTAAGATCAGAAGATGGATACTGAATGGTCTTGGTGTAGAAGGCTTGTATTATAGATTATTTATAGTGTTAAATCAGACACAGGTCTTCAATTATTAATTAATTAAAAAAATAGGGAAAAATCTAATGAGATTCTATGGAAATTAAAAATAAAAAAGAAATATGAAAAGTGTGGGGTTCTCCTAGAAACTTCCTTGACACCTTTGTGGATTCTCTTGTTAATCTCTTAAGAGAACAAACACAAAAATAAAACACTTTAAAAGCTTGAATCTGCTTTATTGTTAATCTGATTGAATTATAATAAGCAAAGTTGGTGCATGCATGAACACCTTCTAAACCATGCATTAAACCACCCAAATATAGGTACAAGCAAACAAGCACAAAGACTTTACAGTAGTGCTCGCGGAAAGAGACCTTGTCAAAAGTTGAATACTGAAAATTTGTTTCAGATATATTAATTAATAGACTGTGTTTTCGGATCATGATAGCATCAGTAGACGCCACGTATCAGAAGATCTAGGTGAAACGTGGAAATGGTAGATCCCAACGGATGAGATGGACTCCACGTAGCAAAGAAAAAAGTATATATATATATATATATATATATTTTTTTTGTATATATTATCCACTTGGTGAATTACGAGTTGCTTAGTTGATTGGGTTTATGAATGATTGGGCGGTGCGACTGTAGAAAAAGAAAAGTTAACAAAGAATAAACTAAAGCTACAAGTGGGTTTGTGACAAGTGACAACGCGTTGAAAATTTTCAGAGTTCCAAATCGTCTCCATCTTTATAAAAAATTTAACCAATGAAAATGAGGTATTCCTTTGCCTCATCCTCTACTGTAACCAAAGAGATATGTCCAGGTGCTTCAATTGCCAGAAATGGGTGAACATTATTGTACTGTGCTAACTGCCTAATCAATTAAATGAAGTTTGTAATGATCTTCATGGTCGATCATGACCATTGGAGAAGAATTTCTGGAATTAATTATTCTCTTGTTTTGAGGTTACCAGACAGAGTGTGTTCCACGGGACAGATATATAACACCATCAATGGACCAGTACAACATATTGGCAATTTACAAATGGCATAATCTGAAACCATACAGTGATAAAAGGGTTTGAACTCATTATCTCCATCGTTTTCACCATTGCCACCAAGTAAGGAATATCAGAATTTTTCATCTCAAACTATTCATATATACAAACAAATATACTTTACACATAAAATTTCTAAAAGTATATTCAGGTGCAAATGTGATCCATATCTACAAAGCTTAACTGCTAAGAACACTGCTTTATGATTGCGATAGGAAGACAAGTCCCTGTTCAATAAGCAAATCAAAACCCTTCCATAAATCACAGACTTGCACATAATTAATCATCATTAATTGAGGCTTTTTAGGTGGTTGAGATTGAGATTGAAATGACCTAACAAATTTCATGACCTTAACACTTGTCCCTATCTTTTTTTTATAATTTCCATGGGCGTCATTGAATGAGAAAGAGATATATCTTCCCACTTATTTGTAAAAGAAAGCTTTTAGTTTTGCGATAAGATGGATGAGGACCCCATGAATGAAGCCACGAAACAAAAATGCACCACTCATATATTGCAAACAATTCAATAATTGTCCATAGCAAGAAAACTGAGTTTGGCCTTCTACCAGCCCCCGTCTACTTTTGCTCTCTCAAAGTGAAAACACCAAGATAAATTAAAGATACCAATCCCAATCTCAATCTCAATCACATCCACATAGCCTAATTCTTACCTATAATGCAACTAAACCATTGTTTGTTTACTGTTACTTTTTTATGTGCCTTTTAATCCTATAATTATTTATGTTCAAAAGGTCAAACTTTTTTTATTTACGCATAAAATTTAAACGACTAAAAAATTAAAGATTAAGCACTAGCGTAAGATGATTTCTTTCTATTTTCATATTATAGTAGTAGTTGGTAAACAACCAAAGAAGGTAAGCTCGTACTACAAGCTTTTTGAGCAATGTTACTACAAGCTTTTTGAGTAATGTTACATTTATAAACAAATCTTATAAAATTTATGTATAAATTGATATGGCATAAAATAAATAGAAAAGTTAATATGGTAATTTTGGATGTATTTGTTTTATTATTCCTTATCCTGTCCCCAATCCTATTCCCAAAATACATGTTTGTTTAATTATTTGGGAAATACTATTCTTTTTTTTAATTACATTTAGATGCCTTAAATTTATTAATTTAATTAAACACCCCTGGAAAAAAAATTTAAAAATTAACAAAAACACTCCCACCCACCCATAGTTACCAAATTTCGACAACCATCATCGGCGATTGCCGGAATCTATCACAACAGCGTAGAAACGATCGAAATTGGTCAGTAATTCGCCAATCTGGCATTTTCTGGTGAGATCCACAGCGACAGCCAGATCTGGCCGTCGTTGACCAACAATGACGACCATATCTTTAGTTATCGCTGATAGCCAAATCTGGCCTTTTGCGGTCGTCGACAGCCAGATCTGGCCGTATATCTAACCTTTTCCGGCTAGATCCCTGGTGGATCTTGCCGAAAAAAACCATATCGACGCACGACCAGCCAGATCCGACCGGTCTGCCTTGTAATGCCATTTTCCGACCAGATTTCAGCGGTGATGGCTAGAATATGGCATTGTGGGTGGGTGGAGGTGTTTTTGTCATTTTACAAAATTTTTATATATTGCGGTGTTTAGTTAAATTAGCAAACCTACCGGGTTTTTTTTTGTTAATTTTTAAATTTTAGCTCGTAATACTCACTCTATTCAACTACCTAATATTATTCCCAAAATCATATCCAAAATAACAAAACAAACGCATCCTTTAACTTTTTATATTCACTCTTCCATTCAGTTTGTACTACATCAGTTTGTACAAAAATCTTTGTATGGTACATCTAGTATTATTGAAACTTTTTCCTCCTTAATATCTACAACCAAATTCAAGCCCATATCTTTATCAAATTGAATTCCTCTTAACTAAAACTAAATTCCACTATAGTATTAATTGTAATCTTAATTGTCTAAGCTGTTGGACATTAAAATTCAAATTCTAAGTTACAGTATTAATTGTAATCTTAATTGTCTCAAACTCTCAGCTCTTGGACATTCAAATTCAAATTCTGAGTTATACTCCACCAGGGTTATAATTAGGGATATCGATTTCAATAAAGCTACATATAAAAAGATCGGGATTCCAATTTTGTATCTTAAATGATGTGACAATTTACGTGTCAATAATACAAGATTGATTAAGATACAAAGTTCGTATAAAATGATAGAAAACAAATACCAGATTTAAATAGTTCAATTTAGAGCAACAAATCACCATTAAATATTCCTAAATTGAACAATTTAAAACTTGTCTTTTTTCTATCATTTCATGCAAACATTGTTCCTAAATATATAATTAATATCCCTTATAATTATTGTCGATTGGGCCTTATAGCCAAAACATTTTAATAATGCCATAATTCATATAAATAATTGAGCAAGGCACTGCCAACGTGTGCACCCGTACTTTGAATGTTCTCATTTAAATTAACACAAGATCTTGACATACGTTTTATAATAGCTATGTGACAAATATTGTCCCCATTTTTCTAAAAACAAGCCAAACCAGTCCCCATCACGGAAATTAAGCAATTATGCAATAGTTTCTTCTAGGACTAGGTGATGTAATGGACCTAATGGTTTCATGATCCTACATAGCCCACCAGTTTATCGCTATGATTTAAACAAAACATAGCTTAATTTACCTATGTGACCTCGCAGAGACTACAGCTGTAGAAGATAACTCTTTCTACCGACCTCAATCAATACAATAACCTAATAATAAAAAGTGAACACTCGGTAAGCTGAGAGAGTTAGGCCAAGAATGGACAAGATTTACAAGATAGAGAATTAATCAGATGGAACAAACAAACACATTAACAGTATCAATGAACTCATCAGACGGAGCAGAGAATGAAGTTGCAGGATGGACGGTGCAGAGGACTTTGACGAAGCCCTTTTGGCAGTGGCAGGTGAAGCTGCGCTGGCATTATTGGTGCTCTGTTGCTCAGTGGTTGGCAATGGGTTCGGAGATCCAACATCAGGTGGCGGCCCAAGATGTACGTGTGAGCTGTCACTCACATCTTCACCTGTTGAAACAAAAATGGTATTAAATTAAGACCTAAATAGAAAATGGTTTTAAACCACAAACACAGAAAGGGAAGGAAAATCAGAGACAGAAATTTTTAACATAGTACTGCACAGCCAAGTTAACTCTCTTCCAGAAGGATTTCTTTTCTACAGCATTTTAAAAAATAAGGTGCATTTTTCTTTCCTCGTATATTTTCAAAGAACAAATGGCAAGGACAACTAGATTGGTATAAAAGATTAAAAGTACACCTGATTTTACCAAGAACTTTGTTTAACCTCATGGTACTAAGCGTTAACAGTAAACAACAGGTACACTTCATTTATTAAAGCAAGGATGCCACCTGATTTTAACATTAACTTTACACGGCCACCTCAGTAACAGAGAAACCCGATAAAATCCACAACAATGATAAGAGTGATGCATAATTTGGAAGGAAAAAAGGGAAAAGTTCACCAAGTTCCTACAAAGATCATAACAAATTTGATCTGTTCTTCGATATATCAATTCTCCACGTGAACTCTTGACCATTTAAAAAAAATAAAAAAAGACAGCTAATAACTAAAAGAATGCATTACATAATCTTGCTAAAATCTTACTTTCAGACCCTTAGATTTTTATTTTTCACTTTCAGATGTCAAAGCTTGCAAAGCTAGTTTTTAAAAAATAATGTCTACCAACTCTTAGGACAATATTCATTTAAGAAACAAAGAAACCCTCAAACACTTACAATTGGAATGTGACCAACCCAACTTCAAATTTTCCCTATCAAAGACCATGAGATGGCCCATCAAGAAGTTTTCTGCAAGACATGGATTAAATCTAGTGTCTTAAAACATGAAGAAAGACAGGGAGAAGGAGATAGAAAAGTAAAATTGAAGACTGCAATAATGTACTCACGTCCAATAATACCAAAGTCTCCATCTGCAGGCATTACAGTTAAACAGAATACTGTAAATCCCTGCACAACATCCGGACAATTTATTATCCAACATGAACAGTTTTTCCATCAACTAAAAAGAGGAACAATCAAGAGAGAACGTGCAACAGAAGAACCTGGAAGATATCTAATTATCTATATCCTAATATCCATATATATAAATAAGAAAAATGGGTGATATCGACCAAATAGACTTAAAATTGTATATAACAACCTTAAAGATTGTATAAGTAAACTTCACACCAATGAAAAATACATGTTGCGAACTAGAAAATGAAATCCAGAACACTAAAAGTTTATAATAATTAAATCTACCTCTGTTTTAGACCATATTTCTTTGAAATTAATAGACCCATAAGTTTAGACTCAAATGTAGTAAAGTTAAGCCAGCAAGATAAGCTACCTGATTTTCAGGAAAGGAATATATATGATTATGGACTAAAAAGCTTTGGTTTGTAGTAAATATGAGCCTCATGTTGGGAATGCTATGCAGCTCCTCTGAACTGTTTCAAATAAAATAGCTGACATTGAGTTCTGAAGATATAAGAAAAAAAAGCTTTCCTAAACTCTCTGTATTTAGAATCCAACCTGGCATTGTAGCAGTTCTTCCAGGAATTTCCTTGAAGGTCAATTCTTTTAGCAGTCACAAGTTTGTCAAACTGTTATAAAGACATAATCATCTTTGGGCCATATAACATTGTAACACATTTATAAAGTAAAATCAGGACAATTGAAGCACCTTCGAAACAACTTTATCATATAAGTCAGCTGGAAGAAATGTGAACGATGAACCACTATCAACCAATGCTTGGAATCCAGATTGCTGAAGACAAGAACTTCCGACACAGTAAGACTCCACCTCAACAAAATAGGTGTCACTGAAACAATTAACAGACAAACTACAAGATTAGTCAACAAATCTATTAAAGCACCCAAAGAACTACGAAAAGCTAATAGAACTGCTGTAGTTTTTTACTTCTAGCTCCCTTGACAGGGTAAGGGAAATATATCCAGTAAAATATACATAGATGGCATACTATTTTTCTCCTATGGGCAAGAATGAAGTAGACTGTTGAGAGGCAGGCCCTTGATCTCCGAAGAAAATTCTCCCTGAATCATTCTCATCAAAACAAATCGAGAAGGAATTCAGAATTAATCCTGCTTTTGCAAGCAAAGTTGGTACTGAAATGTCTCCAAGTCCCAATCCCATTAGTCCATCTGGAGCTGCTCCATCCAAATAACTGCCAGTTTGCTTCCTACCACAGCTGATGAAATGAAACATGTACCAGAAAGAATCATAAATTTAAGCACATATATATCTGGTTGATAAACATTGAAGGAAAAAACCACATAAACACACCCTATAATAACTGATGCTTGCACCAAACTTTGGGTTGCATGTTTGCTAACTGAAGCTAAGTGTAATACGTCTTCAACCAGATATCCAGAACTTGAGGTATCTTCTGAAGCATATTCAGCAACGTAAGGGCAGGGATCCTTCAAGCTATTGCAGTTTGTGCGAGACTTGCATAACTGATTACTGCAAGATAGGTTTTTGCTGCTGCTCGATGTTGCCGGATCATACTCACTCAGGTCTCTTTCCTGCACAATGGATGCTCCAAATACAAGGGAGCACCTGCCAATCAATCATTGGAATTAAAATGCTAAATCTGTTACCAATTCCTAGCCAAAGCATTCCACAAGTCGTTTAATGCTTCCACATTCAGAGTCCTTTCAACATGCTCCAGCGATACCAAATTTTAATATAAAAGGGAAAACTAAAACATAAAAATTAAGATTGGCATTTACCTTCAGATTTTCTCACTGTTTAAACAATGAAGGCCAGTAGTAGCAATTACCATTACAATATCAATTCATAAGCAAACCATAAAATTTTTATGGCTAGAACCCTCTGTATCGCTTATATCAAGTAGAATTTGATATTAACCAAGCACATGAAAATGAAACCGTTACAAACTTCAAAACAAAAAGAAAAAATGGCCTACCAAAGAAGTATAGTAACTGGCAGACAAAGGAGCGCATTGTTTACATTGACATGGGACCCATAATATATTACTTCCAGCATCCAATGCAACCAGAAACGAAACGTTTGGTGTCCCTATATCAATCCACGTGTAGTGTAACCTGAATTACCAAATCATGATTCATACACACAAAAAACATATTCTTAATAGGGCAATCCATCAATTAAATGTTTTTGTTTATTAATAGTTGACAACAACAACAAAAAAAAAAAAAACCTTTCGTTTTCTCCGGAACCAAACAAATAGAAATAGCAACGAGTTTCACTCACCAATAAAACTGATTTCCGAAGTAAAGTGTCTGGCTTCCATGAGAGGGAAACAGTAATTGATACTGCGATTTGTTACTACTTTGTAAATCCACTCTCATTCTCTGCCGTTTCAAGTCGTTACCAAAGAGCACCTCCATATACTCCACACTTTTCTTGTTCGGCCACGAAGCAGCAGCCGACGCGTCACCGCCTCTCGAAATCCATCTCGCTTTCGCTTCGTCGGAAAATCGGTGTATCAGCTTCGAAGAAAACGTGACAGCAGCCGATCCATCGAACAACAAGTAACTAAACAACGAGACCAGCAAAATAAACAGACGATTCGCCATTATAGGTACGGAGAGTGACAGAGAAAGAGATAGTAATGTATAATGTGAGAGCTTTATTGAACTTTGAGTACTAAAGTGCGCGGTGGGGGGGTGCGTAGTGAGCACTAGCTGAGGCCAATAATACGGTTGGAGTTTTTTTACTTTAGAAAGTGCGTCACGTGAAAACCTAGTAACATAGAACACACTAGTAGCAGGCTGCGAGTGCGAGAGTTGCTATTGCTAAATGGCAAGTAATAATCGTCTGGGCCAATGAGGTTTCAAATTTTAAATTTAAGAGAAATGATAATGATGGTGGTTAACAGTTAATCAAGAATTAATGACCAATGTTTGACACGTGGCGGGACTCTTTTTTGAATGGCGGAATCCAGGTGGAGTTTTTTTTTTTTTTTTGGAGGGAAAGGGATTTAATTAGTGGGAATGAAATAGAGCCAAACAGACGGTGGTTTCGTCAGAGCATTCAAGTCGGGAATGAAAGGGACAGGTTACCGTCAATCACTTATCAAAATTCAAAAAAATAGTTAATATTAATTGATAATTAAAAAAAAAAAAAACATAAATTTGTGTGATAATATTATTGAGTAAACAAATTTAAAGAAAAGTTACCCTATCATGTTTAAAATTAAAGCTTATACGGGCTGGGCTTCAGGATTCTTTACCGTTTTGGGCCTGGTAAAAGGAAAAAGAGTTTGAAGGATCCCTCTTACAATAAACAATCGATTCGTGCATGACTGGAACTCTTACAATAATTTCAACCGATTCATGGAACCATCTGGTGATTCAATAAATGGACATTTAAAACCATCGTAATAAATATATGTCAATAATCTATGCATAATGTCTTCTATCTTAGTCATATTCCTTTCTGGTTTTTGAGATTATATTGTTGATATGGGTACAGCAAATCAGTGTATATATATGTGTGTGTGACTAAATATAACTTTATCCCATCACTGATAAGGTGATTCGGATATCATCAATGATTCAAATCATGGCTACCCGGTGAAGATTGGAAGAGTTCAATCAGGTAAATATATGTCGCCAGACTCTACAATAAACTTGTAATATTGTTGAAACACCATGACTAGTCCACGATGTATCAAATTTGTGATAGTCCTGATATTTCTGATCAGCACTGGGTTCATTTTTATGTAAACTCGTGTACAAGTCTTTAAATGCTATAATATTAAGAGTATATTTGGTTCAGAGAATATTGAATTACGGAAAATGTTATATTAATGAATAGTTGGATTACTTTGAAGATTATTAAGAATGTTTAGGAAAATATATTTCATTAGGTTTGAAATTAATTGGTAGGTATTTTATATTAATATACTTAATTGAGAAAAATAAATTTGTGGGTATATTATATAGATTACTAAATTACCCTCATTTTTAAGTTTTAACTATTAATATGTTATTATTTTTTGAATAATGCTTTTATCCCCTTACATTTGAGATTTTGCTAAAACACCCTAACCATATAAAAGTTTAATTTCAAACAAAATCACCCCACCCACCCGAAGCCATTGTCGGCTGTCGGCCACCACCATTCGACTATGGCAATAGTGGCTAGAAAGGCGCTTGACCAGCCGAATTTGGTTGGCTGTTTCCAGCTAGATCGATGGTTGGAAACATACAGATCGGCGCACAACCGACCAGATTCGATTGGTCAAGCACCATTCCGATAATGTCAATCGACAATGGTGGCTAGCGGGCGACAGTGGTCCTAGGTGGCTTGCAATTTGTTTTAAATAAAAAAACATTACTATCCAAAAACTTAATTAATTAAGGGTAAAATTGTAATGGCAAGTTCATATAAATAATTTCAAAATAAATGCATTATTGTCCTAAAATTTTATTAATAAAGGGTAAAATTGTAACAAAAATAAGATTATTAAGTAATATCAAAATATGGTATTCAGATTAATAACTATATATAACTAATAATAATTACTATTGGTTTTAGAAGATTACGAGAATCTTATATTATTTGACAGTCAAACATGATAATCTAAGTAATATAAAATAACATTAAAGGTGCGTTTGGTTTAGAGAATATTGGATTACTAGAAAGTTAGATTACCTTGAACATTACTAGGAATCTTTAGGAAAATTGGTTTGGTTAGTTGGAATAAATTGGTGGGTATGTTATATTAATATGTTATGTTTGGTTGGGAGGAATAAATTGGTGAGTATGTTATTTAAATTACTAAATTGCCCTCTTTTTAAATATTAATATAATATTATTTTTATTATTAATTTTTGAATAATTTCTTTTAACCCCTAGTATTTCAGATTTAGCTAAAACACCACAGCTTATATAAAAACTTTAATTTATAACAAAATAACACCCACCACCCCAAGTCACTGCCAACCACCATTGGAAAGTCGTCGGAGTCACCAAAAATGGTCAAGAGTCACTGGGAAGCTCTGGGAGGCTCTGCTATGGCTGTTTCTAGCCATATTGATAGCCAAAAACGGCCACAGTGGAATAGATATGGCCGTTAGCGGCCAAATCCATGGATCTTGTTGAAAATGACCAGAATTGATCTGACAATTTCCATCCAGATCTACTCCATTATGGCCCTTTTTGGCCATCAATATGGCCGAAAACAGCCATAGTGGAGCCTCCTGAAGGTTCTCAGCGACTTTCAACCATTTTTAGCAACTCTGGCGATTTTCTGGCTGCAGTCGATGATGGTTGGCCAACTGTCGGCGGTGGTGGCTGGGTGGTGGTGGTGGTCTGCAATTTGTTTTAAATATAAGGGTATTATTGTCCAAAAACTTAATTAAACAAGGGTAAAATTATAATGGTGGATTAATGTAAATTGATTTTAAAACAGGGGCATTATTGTCCAAAATTTGTATTAAAAATGGGTAAAATTGTAACAAAAATAAGATAACTAAGTAATCTTACAATACCTAAGAAAATGGAGGTAATCATATTACCTCCAATATTACCAACAGTGACTACTATGGGGACGTTTGGATCATATAATTAATGTTTTATTATAGAGGTATTTATATTAACGGAAAGAAATATCACCTTGAAGATTACTGGAAATGTTTAGAAAATATGTTTGGTTGGTTCAAATAAATTGATGATTAATATGTTTGGTTGGGAGGATAAATAGATGGATATGTTATATATATTACTAAATTGCCCTCCTTTTTAAATATTAATATAATAGTATTTTTTATTCGTATTTTTTGAATAATTTCTTTTAACCCCCTACATTTGAAATTTTGCTAAAACACCCCAATCATTTAAAACTTTAATTTGTAGCAAAATTACCCTCACCCACTTCAAGCCACTACGGTAGCCAGCCACCACTGCCGGTCACCGTCGACAGTCAACGGAATGACACATGATTGGCCGTATATGGTCGGTCGTGCGTTGGCAAAGCCGAAAATGGCCACAGATCACAAACCTATGGCCGAAAAATGGCCAGATCCATGGCCATTTCATGGCCATAGAAACCCCAAATCTGGCTGTTTTCTGCATCCATGGCCAGAAAAGGCCTTACCAATGCATGCCTGACCAGATCTCGTCGGTCGTGCACCATTATGACGATTGACACTGGCGGCCGGCTGTGGTGAGGCCAGCGCTGGTCTTGGGTGGCTGGGAATATTTTGTTTACTTTTAAACTTTTTTGTGGCTGTGGTGTTTTAGCTGATTTCTCAAATGTAGGGGGGTTGGATAATTGTTATTTGGTAGACATTTGACGGCAATTATGTCCAAAATAGTTTTTAATTAAGGGCAAAATGGAAAGAAAAATCATATTACCCTGATAATGTTTTAATAACATCTCATAGCAAGGTAATAAGATTACCCTCCACATTATCAACAGTAATCACTATTTGCAATGAAAGATTACTATAATATTTTATTACTTGCAAACCAAACACAGGAATATTGTAAAATAAACAAATATTACCTCCGTTATCTTATTTACCCCCGCTCTAAACAGCCTCTATTGGTATTAGAAAATTACCAAAATCTTATATTACTTGTCAACTAAATGTGATAATCAAGTAATATAAAATTATATAACCCTAGTATTCTCATATAACCCCCAACCAAACGCCCTAACTATTTTGGATAAACCCATCCAAAAGCCTCTAAGTATGGATTGGCCATGATACGAATTTCCAAACAACAGATTTGGGAGTTCGAGCAGCCTGATAAAAAAGGTGGAGGGTTTTGGTTTGGAGTTTGGATTCACATAAACGGGTTCAAGTCTGGGCTAGAAGTCAGAGGCTATGCTATATATGTTCGGCTTACTGGCCTACTTAGGTGTGGACCGGTGGCCGGCACCGCCATGTGTCTAGGCTCCATCTCTAACTATACTATAGGACTAGAATTCTCTGAAAGAGGAACCATCTAATCTAATTCAATTGCTGCGCTGGAATAGAATAAATTACTGGTTACAGACTTACAGTTGACATAATATTCAGTGCATTAATTTATACCTCTTTCAGCTACACCGAATAATATTATTTAAATTTTAGATTGAACTATTCCAATCGAATACTCCATATTATTGCTATCCAGAAAAGTGGTCTAGATAAGGATAACTTTCAATGTCTAATCTAAAGTATTCAAGAGAAACCATAATTATCTAACCAAAATACAAAATAATAATAGTAATGATTCCTACATTTTGGTGGAGTAGATAATACATAATAGTGGTTCGTTTTTCAATTAATTTTTATGCGTAAACGGTGGTACCAGTGTTGACTATGCGAGTTGTCATGAAAAAAGGGTAAAATGAATTGATTTTAATTAGGTAATTAAGTAAAACTGATTCATCCTTTAAAAACGAAAGAACAGAAGAGGAATAAGTTTCATGAACTTTTATTTTTAATGCAAATTTTAAATTATATAATTTATTGAAAAATAAAAGGCATCCCAAAATGCAGATTCTTTGGGTCTTAAATTATACACTAGAATATGAGTTAACATACCAAAACTATTTATAAAGAGTAGTTATTAGAGACTTATCTGGTCGTTAATTTCAAGGCACCGGATGATTAATTGAAGCACAGAAAAGCTGGCCAAAAAACAAAAAAAAACAAAAAAAAAAAAAAAAAATACCAAAACTATTGCTTACCAGCAAAAATAACCAAAAGTAACAACAAAATGGCTAAGGTTTAAAAG